ATCCTAACTGGGCCTAGCATTCTGACAATGTAAAGGGAAAAGGTGCTGGAAGCTCCATTTACAGAACTCCAGGCATCACTTTGGGGTTGGCTCTTACTTATCTCAAACTGAATGTGGGGAAAAACCAGTTTGGTGTAGTGGTTAAGAGTGGCGGACTCTAATCTGGGATAACCGGGTTTGATTCCCCACTCCTCAACATGCAGCCAGCTGGGTAACCTTGGGCCAGTCACAAGTTCTCTCAGAGCTGCTCTTTCAAGAGCAGTTCTCTCAGAGCTCTCTCAGCCCCACCTACCTCACAGGGTGTCTGTTGAGGGAAGAGGAAGGGAAGGAGATTGTTAAACTGCTCTGAGACTCTGAGTGAAGAGTGGGGTATGAATCATCATCTTCTTCTTCTTCTTCTTCTGCATCTCCTCTGATTACCCCTGTTGTCTTTAGCTAAAGCCCATCGCATCTTCCCCTACCCCTTAACTGTTCACCTTCCCTCCCATTTCAGAGTTAAGGTGTGGGAACAGTGTCATGAAACTAGACATTTGCTTGATGAATCCTGATCTCTGTGGTAAGAAACAGTACAGCAAATGCCCAACATACTTATTTAAAATTTCAGGCACATCTGACCACACACAAAAGTTTAATTGTTCGACTCACAGAAGATATGTAAAAGCAGGATGACCTACAAAGATGACTGAGCTCTAGGGCTGCACTGTTGCCTCAGGAATTGCCAGCTCTGCAGGACACAGGGCATGTTTCTAAGGTGGGAGAATGGAGAGGGACAGAAGGGACAGATACACAAGCAAGGAGAAGCACATTAGCACCAAATGCCCGCGCGTGGGGGGGGGGGGGGGGGAGGAAGCGAGGTAACCCGGTCTGAAAAAAATAATGGCTGCAGATCAATGTTCCCTCTAAGCTGTGGAGTCTTGTGAGCAAAAATTCCACTTTGTGAGCTACTGGCATTAAAGTTGTGAGCGAGAGATTCGGCTACTGCATAAATTAGTTTGCTCTGGAGCCCTCCTTCCTGAGCTAAGACAAAAATGTGTGAGCCAGAGGCTCAAAAACCGTGAGCTAGCTCACACTAACTCAGCTTAGAGGGAACACTGGCTGCAGTACATATCCCCTTCAACACAGCCTGGGCAGCTGCAACTGAAACAGACCCTGGAGGTTACTGGCGATGATACGGGCTTTGGGTCACATTTTCCTAATTCAGCATAGCTACGATCCATTCCTAAAATGAGCAGGAATAACCCAATCAACACCAACAATAGTCTACGTATTCCAGAGGAGCAGCTGACTTCTAGGTTTGATATTAATCCCATTCTACAGTCACTCTGCTGGCTGCCCGTCAGTTCCTGGGCTCAGTTTAAAGTATGGGCTATCACACAGAAAGCCCTCCACAGCCCTGGACCCTCATGTCTGCGAGACCATCTCTCCCCCCAGCTCCACCACGACAACTTCATTCAACCGAGCAGGGCCTTCCACCACTGCCAACCTGCAAATGGGCAAAATCAACAACTGCCCGTATACGTGTGCCTTCTCCTTTGTGGCCCCCACCTTGAGGAATGGCCTACCTGAGGAAGCCAGGAAGGGTCCCACTCTCATGGATTTCCACAATCTATGAAAAACTGAATCATTCAAGGGGGCTTTTCTACACAGCCTATAGGGCAGCACCGTACAAAAGACTTCACAAAGTCACTTGGATAAATGACTGGGGACTGTGGTCTGACTACTGTGTATAGTTTGCGGTGGGTTGGATCCCATTGTGTAATTTTGCAGAGACTGTGAATTTATTTCTATGGCTGTGGTCACACATGCTAAATAATCCACTTTCAGTGCACTTTCCAACTGGATTTTTACTGTGCGAACTGGCAAAATCCAGTTGGAAAGTGCATTGAAAGTGAATTGAAAGTGGATTAATTAGTGTGTGGGACCGCAGTGTCAATCTGTCATGTTAACATGTCTGCTTTGCTTCAGTTCTGCTTTTTTAAAAGACTTTTGGAGGGTTCTACAACCCAAATCCTGTTTCATTGTTGATGGTATTCCATCGCTTTGTGTAATCTGCCTTGAGTCCCAGAGAGAAAGGCGGACCATAAATAATGTAAACAAACAAATAAATGAGAATTTACTAAGTACAAGCACTGGTGGTGGAGGAGGAAAGTACTGTCAAGCTGTAGCCAATTTATGGTGACTCCCACAAGGTTTTCAAGGCAAGAGAAGTTCAGACGTGCTTTGCCATCGCCTGCCTCTGCATAGCCACTGTCGACTTCCTTGGCGGTCTCCCATCCTAGTACTAACCAGGGCCAACCCTGCTTAGCTTCTGAGATCTGACAAGATTGGTCTAGCCAATAGTAAATTAATGTAAGGTTCTCTTATCACCCATACTGCCCTTGTCACTGTGTTTATCTAGCATAATTTGGATTTTACAAAGGAAATGTCTCAAGACTGTATATCTATTGCATTTTATTGCCTTTTGACCCTACTGCTAGAGCTGCCACATGCCCCCGGGGGGCGGATTTCCCCCCGCTTTCGAGCTCTGCTTTCCGCTCCCGCAGAATCGGGGCCCGGGGGAAACCCCACCCCCGCGTGCGCGTCACCCGGAAGTGACGTCGCACGCTGGGGGCGGGGCCATGCCATTTGAGGGGAAAACAAAGAGTTTTCCCCTCAAATGGCGTGGCCCCGCCCCCAGCGTGCAACGTCACTTTCGGGTGACGCGCGCGTGTGCACGTTCCAGATGCTGGCCGGGAGCCCCCCGCTCCCGGCCAAAACATATTTGGCAACCCTACCTACTGCACACATTTCCCCTCTATATATACCCCCATATATATATCCCCACATTTTCCCCTATATATACACCCACATATGTATCTTCTTCCAGCTAAACAGATACGATTCATGCATTTAGTTACGTTGACTCTAGTCCATGAAAACTGAAGCCATGATCAATTGGTGAGTCTTTAAGATGCCACAACCCCCTTTTTAAGAAAATCAACAAGCAAGTCTTGGAAGGCAGTATCTTTTTTGAAAGCAGATCCTTCTCAGAAAGAAAAGAATATATAAGCACTTGTTCCACCTTATTCTTGAAACACACACCGGAAAATCTAAGGACATTCGGCTTGTACAGAGAACCAGCTTCACCCGCTATTAACAGCAGCAAAATGAGATCTGGGGGGTAAAACTGATATGAGGATAGCTTTTGGGCAACAGAGAGTGAAGACAGCAAAATCCATTCTATTAGAGCTGCCTCTCTTGTTCTGACCAATCACAACTGATTTGTTCCCCATCAACATTCCACAACCTTCAACTCTTGTGGGCTGGAGCCATCAGTTCCGTTCTTCTGTGTGAGGGGTCCTCCTCCTCCAAGGAAGGCAGCCTTCCTTCAAAACTAACAATATGTCCCCAATGCGAGGCCTCTTCAGTGTGCTTATCCATGACTCCAGAAGAATCATGCCCTACATTTTGCCTATATTTATGTCTGAATGCACATACAATCGCCAAGACAACACAGAAGTCGTTTCCTTTCTGTCACTCAGAAATTTGACAACCTACGCAAAGATCTTTAAACCTTGCCTGAGGCAGAATTGTCTGGGGATGAGTATCTGGAAAAAGACACCGTCTGCACTATGTTTTTTTTCTTCCAGAGAATGATCTAAGAGTAACTTGAAAGCAAAGGAAACAAGGACATCCCAAATCATAGGTTACATGTGGTTTTTTCTATAGATCAAGCACACCCATATAGAAAAAGAGGCCTGCTTTTATTACGCATGGTTGTATTATAAAGCTGTGGCTGAAAGAATGAGGCTCTCTCATACTTCTCTCTGGGAAAGAACTCACAAACGGTTCTTAGCAAAGTAAGCAGAACTGGCTGTAGATCTGATAGGGCCCTGGGCAAGATGGCCTTAGATGGGCCAGGTGGGAACCCATACTTGTGGATGGCCCCAATGCACACAGAAGGCAATTAGGGCCTCATCTGTGCAGCAACACCTGTAATGAGGGACAGCGGAATGTATCCTGCCACTCTGCTCATCAAAGCTTGAAGCCTTCCTCCAGCCTAAGGGGCCTTCTTCCAACTTAAGTGCTTCTTCTAGGGGAAGAGCCACCTGAACTAGGAAATGACTCTCGAGGCTGGAAGAAGGTTTCAGAAAGCAAAATGGTAGGATACATGCCAGCAGGGCTCTTTTTGTAGAAAAGCCCAGGAGGAACTCATTAGCATAATAGGCCACACCCAACAGCAGGAACTCATTAGCATATTGGGCCACACCCCTGACAGCACAGCTCATTAGCACATTATGCCACACCCCCATGTTACCAGGAGTGTGGTTTTCCAGCCCCACCCACCTTTTGCTTGTTATTCTGTTTACCTTGTTTGTTGTCAAAACCCAGGGCTTTTTTGTAGCAGGAACTCCTTTGCATGTTAGGCCACACACCCCTAATGTAGCCAATCCTAATGAGTTTCTGCTGTTGGGTGTGCCCTATTATGCTAATGAGTTCCTGCTGGGCGTGGCCAACTCAGGAGCCAGCCGGAACTCCGTTCCTGTGCGTTCCTGCCCCAAAATAGCCCTGCATGCCAGGGTATACACATGGTGGTGTCAGGCCCTCCATTTGGGTGAATGTGCATAGGAGACGGTAGGACCAGCATGCTTGGTTGTGAACGTGGGCAGGCCCACCATGCTGAATTCCACTTTCCCTCTACATGCATTGCCTGCACACCATTATGTAATGTACACAAACCTTGCCTCTTTCCTGCACGTGCAGTCAGTCCCAATGGATGTGGGCCCTGGGCAATTGCCCCCTTTATCCATTAGCTAAAACAGTCCTGAAAGTAAATATAAGTAAAGGTTTTTACATGTGGCCTCTGTGAGGATTTGGGGGGAGGGTGTTTCCGCTGCAATAGACTTTGCTGTGAGGAGAGGATTCTGAGAGAGTCACAACTTACAGCTGGAAGAACAACAAATGACATTAATCTTAATGGATCCCTTCCGCTTGGTTGGCGACTACCTGAGAGCTCTCACCTGTGGCAAATGATTACATTTACTCCTGCTGGGAATGTGGCTGGGCAGCCGAATGTTAAAGAGGGCCTGCAGCGCAGCCTGTGCTGCTTGACCTTTGGCCAGCTTCTTGCTACGTCCCGAGCCTTCAAACGTTTTCCCATCCACTCTCACTGCCATCACAAAACTCTTGATATGTTGCTTCTCCACAGTCTCGGAAAGGCAGACGTACCTCAGTCCCGACCGCAACTCATTGAGTAACACCACGGGGTTCTTTTCGCTCTCCGCGCTGGAAGCCATCTTGCGCTTGTTTTGTTTACCATGGTGGCCCATTAAGTCCAAGGTGTGGTAGAGGAACCTCCCATGCCGGTAGGCCGTGGAAAGCAATTCATTATTAACTGGGCTGTAGACTGAGAAGTCCTTACTGTGTGGCGACGGTTCGAACTCCTTGAACAGAGTGTCTGGGAAGTCTGCCTGGTCTGATGTAAAGTCCGTGGAAGGGTTGAAACAATTCCCCATGGCAAAGTGAGCTTGACACGCATTGGGGAACTGAACAAAAGACTTCAAGGCTAGTTCGGCAGCCTTCATTTTGGCCTTCTTTTTCGTTGGTCCGGTGCCTTCAAACGTAAGTCCATTTACTTCCACAGCGACGGCAAATACCGGAGCATGGACGGGGCCTGTCTGAGACACCATTTTGTATTGTAAACCTGGTTTAAGTTCGTGTAGCTGGACCAGAGCGTTCTTTGGCGTTACTGACCACGAGACCTTCTTCCAGATGAGCTGGAGTTTGCAGAAATGTCCACTGTTGCCTTCTTCCAGGGGCCTCTTCCTTTTGAGGCTGGAAACTCCCACTCTTGACCTTTCGTTAGAGGCGATGGGATGGCCTTCCAGGTTGCCAACATTGCGGTTCTCCTTCACTTCTGCGCTGCTTGTGCCTGTTAGCAAAACAGAGAAAAAGAAGCCCACCAACATTATTGATGTCATTGTGACATTTAAGATGAAGAGCATGGAGAAGAGATCTCACTAACGTTTTCTACGAAGCTGCACTGGCAGTTTTGAATAGCTTAGGGATGGCCGATATGTTATAGCCATTTTAAACAGAGGCTCTGCTAGGAAGGGAGGGGAAGCCTTTGAAACATCTCTGCCAGCTGCTACGCTGAACCTCTATTTCTCTTCCTGTTTGCAGGTATTGAAGCCTAGGAGCAGCTAGAGCTATGAGCCAAAGGGCTTTTGGCCCTTGGCTCTTAGGCCATGGCTTGCAGTCTGTGGCCTTGAGTGAGGTGATCCAGTGGGTCCGGGGACCACCCAGGATGCAGTTTATTGTATTCCCCCTGTTTGTTGGGTCCCTATTGAGGAGAGCAGTGGGTAAGCTCCGCAAGCAAGCAATCCGCTTCACTTTCAGGGCTTTTTTTGGTAGAAAAAGCCCAGCAGGAACTCATTAGCATAATAGGCCACACCCAATGGCAGAAACTCATTAGCATATTAGGCCACACCCTGACAGCACAGCTCATTAGCATATCAGGACACACCCCATGCCTCACCTTGTCTTGCCCGGGCGCTCCGCGGCTGTGGGAAGCCCGGGCACGCCGGCCCTTGGAGGGGAGGGGAGGCAGTTTAAACTACCTTCCCTTGGCTTACTTGGGTGCCTCGTGACTGCGGGGAGCCCAGGCAAGCCAGCCCTTGGACAGGCTGGGGAAGGCATGGGGAGGTGTTTAAATGCCTCCCTGATCCTTCCAGGGCCCTCACTGGCCCGCCCGCCCGCCTCAGAGTCGCCCGAGGGGGGGGGCGCTCTCCAGGCCTTCCCTCTGTAGCCACGCACACAGAGGTTTTGGCTGTAGTGGGCGTGGCCAACTCTGAAGCCAGCCGGAACTCCGTTCCTGTGCGTTCCTGCCCCAAAATAGCCCTGCTTGTAGTACTACTATCCTAAGCGGAGTTACATCCTTCTAACTTCATTTACTTCAATGTACAAAGAAGAGTTTAACTCGGCTTAGGATGGGATTGTTACATTACTTTGTGGACGTTGTAGCTGAGTGGCATTGGATTGCCAGTTCCTCCAGGCCAAGTCCAACCCTGACAGCCAGTTTGGTGTAGTGGTTAGAGCGTTGGACTAAGATCTGGGAGACCCAGGTTTGAATCCCTACTCTATCATGGAAGCTTTCTGGGTGCCCTTGGGCCAGTCACACACTCTCAGCCTAGTCCTACCTCACAGGGTTGTTGCGAGGATAAAATGCAGGAGAGAAGAGCAACGTAAGCTGCTGTGGGTCCCCTTCAGGGAGGAAGACGAGGTATAAATGAAATAAATACATACATATTCTCTTGACTACACCACACTGGCTTGTATTTTATCTCCCCTGAATCTCCTGTCCTTGGAGGCCAATATGATGAGTACTGTCTCCCTTTAAGCAAGTGAATAAACTATCATACTTTCACAGACATTATCTTTTTTGATGTAGTAACTTAAAAACAACAACAACCAACAACCACCAGACACCCAGACTTATATCTGCCTAGGAGGAGAGGAGGAGGAGATTGGATTTATACCCCGCCCTTCACTACCCAAAGGTGTCTCAGAGTGGCTTACAAACTGCTTTCCCTTCCCCTCCCCACAACAGACACCCTTGGGGGGGGGCTGAGATTTTGACGGCAACCCCTCTTTTTCAAGAACAGCTCTTATGAGGACTATGGCTTGCAGGAAAGTGGGGTCGGTTCTCAGATCCACACCTCCCCCCCCCTCTCCATCTAATAGGTTTTTACAGACCCAATTATTGTACATAATGATATTGAGGTCGGGAAGCATGGAGAGAAAGATAGCTCTCGTTTCACACTCTATTCAGGTTTGAAAAGAATTTGTATTGATTCTGCACCAGTGAATAAGAAAACACAGGGGGTTATTTGTATTTATAATTCATATTGCCTTTCCAGATCTGTTTCACTAGCTCACCCCGCCCCCCATGCTGGTTGCATGCATTTATGAATACAGAAACTTTATGTTTAGGACTTTGTGTTCAGCCACAAACACATAGACTAACCAGTACAATAAACAATTCCCTTTGTCGTCTGAAAGTTTTCTCTGGCCTTACCTTAATCCCAGTACTTCAATAAACTTGGTCATATCCCAGTGTAAGACTCTGGGATACCTGGCTACACAAACCTGGCCGCTAGTACTCTTTCAACAGCTTTTGTCTGAACTGATTCTATGAGTCAATGCAATCATGATGTTTTGTACTGGGAAGTCACTTCTGCCAGGGCTGGCCATACATACTGGGTTGGATTGGAAGGTCCCATTTATTTAATGATGGCGCCTTCTTCTGTTGCAAGGAAGAAATCCTTCTACAGCAAAAGGAGTCTTCCAGTGTTGGAACACACCTCCTGTACCAGAGGAAGGCTTCACTGTTAGCAGAACTGAACCTCTGGATCACTGCTAGCAGAACAGAACTTCTGAATCACTCTTAGTAGAACAACCCTTGGATTCCACCCAAGGTGCAGGTGCTTTCTGCTAATAGTGGCACAAGCAGCCCTCCTCTCAGTTCACATATATCCATCAGCTTCCTCTGTTGAAATGAACAGGTGGCCCCTAAAATCTGCTGGTAAATTCTTGGGACCTTATGCATGCCACCTTTGGAGGCAGTTCAAGGTCCTGGTTTTAACCTTGACAATCCTGTAATGGTTGAACCTGCATATACCTGCCTGTGGGGAAGGGCCATGGCTCAGAGACAGAAGGAACGGGAAAGGATCTCAGAGCGGTAAAAGTCTTAGATCTGGAAAGCCATGGACAGTAGATCATGGACTAGGTGGATCGATGATCTGATTCAACATAAGGCCATTTTGCATCACCCGACTCCAGATAAGAACTGTCGGCAAAGTCATGTTCAGAATCCATTGAAGCAGAGAATATAGAGTAGCCAGTGATGGGGGGGGGGGAGAGGGGCTTTTTCAGCTGTTTATTAAAAAAGGGGAATAACCTCCTGAAGGAATTGTAGTTATCCCCCCTTGCTTTTGGAAAGCCATACAAGGCTTATCTTGATCAAAACCCAAAGTTGATGCTGAACAGTTGTACGACTGTGTTCCATCTTTGATTCTTTGCAATGCTTTTTTAAAATATGAAATGGTTATTGGTTTTATGGACAGCATCAATTTAAATGGATTTGTTCCTTTTAATTTTGCAAGCTGCCTTCAGCCAAGGGAAAGATGAGATAAAAGAGATTTAAAAAGATGTCTTTATGCAGCTTAAAATAGAAATATTTTTATTCGGCCACACTGCCTTATACGTATAATAAACGACATTCTTATAACCATAGATAGTGTGATTCCTAGAGATTCTCCTTGTCAGACTACATTTCCCATAACGCAACCTTTTGACAATACTGGACGTCAGTAAGAGGGGAGACAGGACAGCCTAAATTAAACCACAATGTTTTTTTAAAAAAAGAAAGAAAAAGATAAAGCCTAGTAATTTTGTGTGTTAATGGTGAGTTCAACTAAATTGCCTTATATTTTGAGGCATCTCTGAAATCTGATCTCTTTGAAATATGGCTTTGATAAGACCTCTAGCAACTACAAAATTATGACCCTTGTATTTATAAGCATTTCCTCTCTGAAGCTGAAATACACTGGATATGTACTGTGAGCAATGATGATAGAATTCTTTTAGTAAAGAAAGGAACGCTAAATTTTGATGATAGAGTCCAAGGTTGAACATGAAGAAAGGTACAAACTGTGAGGGGATTACTTTCATTTTTATTAGCTGTAAGATAATATTTAGAGGAAGGAGGTGTTATGATTGAAGTATTGTATGGTCCGGAGCAGAGTCACACCCTTCTAAGCTTGTTGACTTCAATGGATTTAGAAGGGTGCATCTATGCTTAGGATCACGTTGTTCGACTACTGGCGCATCAAAGTGATCCTTCTGGAGAACAAAAAACCAAACAAAGACAAAAGTAGACTCTCTGATCTTCACTGCGCAGCAACATAACCAGGATCTGGCAAGCGCACTTGACATGGAAACGTGGCCAAATCCCAGCAACATATTTAGTGGACAGTATTTACACACAAAGTTTTCAATGTCATATTTTTTAGGAATATGTCATTTAAAAAAAACACCTGAGGTGTGTATTTAAAGACATAAGTGAAGAGTCCAAGGTTTCACAAAGGCTTAAACACAGAATTGTAATAAGGAAACAGGATGGTAGGCTCATTTGGTCCTGCAATTGCTGGCCTCTAGAGACGGAAGGGAACAAAAGAACGGAAGAGGTACAGAAACGCAGAGTACAGATGCAGGCCTAGAGTATAGGCTGGGATGAATGCGTGGATGCCAGAGCCAGCAGGCACGGTCCCTCTGGCCCCTTTCCATTCATTTAGCATATTTATACTGTCAACTGAAATAGGATGCAGAGATTTGTCTCTGCTGGACCACAGAAACACTCTGTCTCTTCATCTTAATCGAATTCCACTTATCAGGGTGAGGAGGAGCAGCGAGCGAAATGTATTTATCTGTTAAATTGGTGAGCATCCCTCCTACATTCCTGCCTTAGCTTCCCATTCCGCTCCTTCCCCTCTCTGGTAGACACCCTCCCCTCCCCTCCTTCTTGGTCATTATGCACGGTAGTGTTAACCTGGAGCGCTTGCATCATCAAGAGCTATTGAGGACTGTAATGCCTCACTAATAATGACACTGCCTTTGTCTCCGGGTCATAAGGGTTCAGAAGAACTAGCCATCCGATACTCCACGCTACATTTGAAGTGATAATATTGTTCCTGATGAAGGTTATTCAGCTGCCTGGCAGCCCGAAATTTCGGTTGGGGGGAAAAGGGAAGAAAAGAATGGACAACCTCTTCCTTACAAAACCTCTTGAAAGGATAAATCCTCTTGAATACGGAGTGGGCGTCAACGGCATCAACAGTGGTTACCAAAGGACACATTTCATTTTACAGTCAT